TCACCTTTTGACACAAAAAGGAACTACCCGGCATATAGTTATAAGCAGATATCCTCAATTATTTTAATTGCCCTGTGGCTGGGCACTACTCATTTTTCTATTTTTTAGGAGCGTTTTCTATTTTGTAGTACTGTTTGCCGAAGGCACTAAAGTCTAACATGGGTTACAAGAGCAGGTAGGTTTACTGTTTACAGTTTTTCCACCCTGGGTTCAAAGTCTGGGGCTCCTTACCGTCCCCTGACTTCATTAGCCAGAGAAGAGGGACAATGCTGGAAATCATAGCAAGACTAGGAAAGAGGGTGGCCAGACATGCTCCCCTCATCTTAGTGCTGAGCACACAGTAAGCGCTCAATAAAAGCTAGTGAGATGAGTGGCCAGTAAGCGCATCATTATTTTTTTCTCTACTCTCTTCTCTTAACCACACAAAATGACCCTCAACAAAACCACATAAATCAAGACACAAAGGAGGACAGCCTGTTGACCTACCTTGCGGATACAGTTCCCCAAAGGAGACAGACAGAAGAGTTCTCCCCAGAGCATGTTATTCTACTCTCAAAATAAAATACATCTCTCATTTCAAGGTACATTTATTTTAGTTAGGTAGGATAAGGATTTTGTGAGAGAAACAAAAATGAATAAGCTGGTGTGTGGGAACAGGAATTAAAATTAGCAGCGACTTGCCGCCTGCCGACGTGGATGTCCTCACATCCCACTGCCTTATTTTTGGTTCTGTTCTGGTTTGTTTTCTTCCTCAGTACTTTAAAATATGATAGGTAGGTTAGAAAGACAAGCCAGGGATAATCATGAAGCTCGTCCTATGTACGTGGTACTTTACTGACTGCCTCACTGAATCCCCTCAACAACCCTATGAGGTGAGTACTACGATTACCCCCATTCATTGGACAGGTGGAAAACTGAGTTTAAGACAGGTAAAATGACCTTGCTCAAAGTGACCCATTGGCCAAGCCAAGCTGTGAATTGAGGTTGTAACCCAGAGCTTGGCTTGACCCACTCCGCTCCATTGACCGCATGTGTGGAAGCCCCTAGTCTCTCCCTCTCTCTCAGGTAAAGCAGATCTGATCGCCAAGGTGCTAAGGTACCTTGGGAATCAGGAGACACCACACAAGCTCTCTGTGTTTCCTGGGTCCTAGTGGCAACTCTAGAAACTGGAGGTGGACAAGGAGGAGTGGGAAGGAGAGGAGGAGGCATGAGGATGTGTGTTCTTAAATAAGATCTCTTCCCCTCCCTGCCTGCCTGAAGTGAAGCTCTCTGAGTAAGGAGAGATGGAGGGGTGCCAACAGAAATGAGCAAAACCAGCTCAGTCACACCAACCCAGTCCTCAAACCCCCCAATCTTTTAAGGGTAAGGACAGAGGCAGAAGAGCAGCATGAATATGGACATAAAGTCAGACCAAATTGGAGGCAAATCATCCCTTCTGCCACTCCCAGGCTATGCGACCTTGGACAGGAATGAACATCTCTGAGCCTGTTTCCTTATCTTCGAAATGGGGGAAAATAATTCCCAGCTCACAGGTCTGCTCTGAGAATTAAGTGAGTTCATGTGTATAAGGGGCTTATCAGAGCGCCCAGCACATAGTCGAGCTGGAATTAGCTGTTATTAGTAATATGCCGTCAGATGCACTAAGAGAATATATACCATAAAGTACATGAATACTATGCTATATAATACGCAACTATATATGATGATAAGAAATCAAGCGTGGTGGGTGTTATGCTCCAGAGAAGGTAAGGGTGGGGGTGACGGCACTCATTCTGTTTTGTACCCACATGGTTTCAGCTATGCAGGGCTCAGCAGGCGTGTGCGAGAGAAGAGAACAGACTGCAGCTTCCTCATCTTATACCAAACCTCTGCCAGTAAAGGTAGTACCTTTTCGTTTTCCAGGAGGAGGGCAGCACTTCCTGAAATGCCCCCACTTAATGGGATTATTCCTCCTACTTTGTAAGCCATACCTCGTGGGAATGTTCGTTTTATCTCTGGCAGCTCGTCGGCACAATAATTGTTTCATGATGTAATAAACCCGTGTATTAAATCAGACACGGGAGCCTCCTTGAAATATTATTATACTGAATTCTCTTCCGTAACAGGCAGCCCAGGGGTGGATCTCACCCAAGGGGCTTAGTTACTAAAGAACCCAAAGTATTTCATTGAAGGTGCCTTCTCCTATAAGAGGAGAAAGGTTATTTCCTGTTGTTATTTTTATTATTTCATAGTCCAAAAGTTTGTTGGTCTGTTTTCAGTTTCAACACACTTGTGCTTCCTAATGTACTACATATTTGCTTATTTATTAGGTTCGTTTTTTTCCTGTTCTTCCCCCACTGCAATGTCACAGGGTAGGACACTGCCTATTGTATTCACTGTTGTTTCTTTTTTTTTTTTTTTTAGTGTGGGGAGGGGCAGGGGGAGAGAGAATCTTAAGCAGGCTCCATGCCCAATGTGGAGCCCAAAGCAGAGCTTGATCCTAAGATCCTGAGATCATGACCTAAGCCAAAATCAAGAGTTGGATGCTCAACCGACTGAGCCACCCAGCACCCCATTATTCCCTGTTGTTTCTTAATCATCTGAAAAATTATCTGGCACATAGTAGGTGTTTAATAAATATTGTTCAATTAATCAACAAATTGAAGCACGCTTTAGAGCGTATTTTTTGAAGAGCAACCACAATTGATGTAAGAGTGTATCTCATTTTTCCTCCTTTTCCTTTTTCTTCTTTTCCTATTCACTCTAGTGGATTTTCACTAGACAAGAACACAACTCCAAAAATCAGGATTAAATCATTCACAAAAAGACATGAATTTTTAACATCCAAGTTCTCCTGACACAAAGACGCTTTCAGTCTCACAAGGAGACTCAGCTCCACACCCTTAGCTGGGGTGAGACCTGCTTGCTGCGCAGGAGGGGTGTCTCCACCACAGTCCTGAAGGGGTCTCCTCAATCATCTAGGACCACGAGGGACCAAGAGAGAATGGACCCTGACATAAAATTCCGATTCCTGAAATGTGAAGACTAGAAGGTATTTTAAGTCCAAACCTCCCACTTTTCAGAAGGAAAAACTGAGGGTCCAGAAAAGCAAAATGGTTGTTGTAGTGCACAGAGTAATTAGAACACAGGCGGGAAGAAAAGGCAGATTCCTTTCCTACCTTCCTTCTTCCTTTCCTTCCTCCCTCCCTCTCTCTTGCTCTCTTCTTCCCTCTTCCCCTTTCTTTTTTCCTTGTCTGTCCGGAGTTTTTCAGGGTGTGTGCATGCACATGGGTGTGTGTGCATGTGTGTGCATACTCTTCACAACAGGATGGTCTAGGACGAGCCCTGGTTAGCAGCCTATATGTAATTTTGCCTCAGAAATGTTGATGATTTGATTTCACTAACTTCCCAGTCCTTCCCCACAACCTAGATCCCAAACTTCCCATGAACAATGCAAGAGTCTTAGAGGCATCCTGAGCTGAAAGTACTGGAAAAATCAAATCATCTAACCTAACCTTTACTTTACAGATGAAAAACAACAGGCTGAATGAAGGAAAGTGAGCTCCCCAGGTCACAAAGCCAGTTAACAACCCAGCTGAGGTAGCTGGGACCCTCAGCACCAGGGCACATTCAGGTCACACTCAGAACACTTCTCAAGATTTGTGGGTGGCTCTGACAGTCCCATCATGCCGGCTGGAAAACCCAATCTAAGCCAGCATGTCTCAAATCAAGGATAAAAACTTTTCCACTGAGCGAGTGAATAGAATTCTAATGAGAAAACTCGTCAAAAATAGAATCTTTGTGGGATACACACACAGAGATACACACTGATATGTGCATACATGATTACTGCATACATCATATAGAAAGGGTGCTTCTTTTTTTAAATCCTTGATACTAGGCATATAATAAATCACAGAGCTAGCAAGGACATCAAAAACATATTGCTAGAGGAAGCATATCTTGGCACAACATTTTGGAAAAATGAGCCATCAATATCTGTACGAACTAAAATATACGCATTCTTTGATCCAGCGATTCCTCTTCCAGGAACCTGGAACCATCTAGAGAAACAGAACTGTACAGATAGGTGGATGAGGGTGTTTACTAAACCATCATTTACAGCGCAAAAAGGAAACAATCAGGTGGTCCATCCTTAGGGTTATGGCCAGAGGAACCATGATATAACAATTTGTAGAATTTTGTGTAACTCCAATAAAATGAATTATTATAGAGCTGAAGGGACACCCATCATTTGTTAGTAAGAAAATCAAACTGCAGTGCAATGTGATGGACACACTTATTTTTACGAAGACCACCACCGCTCCATCATATCTATGTGCATCCACGTTTGGGGCAAAGGGACATGAAGGAAAGATGGAAGTCTGTTAACACTGAGCATCCCAGGGAGAAGGCATGATTGCAAGGAACCCAGAAATAGTCCTCTGGGTCCCTTTTCAGCCTTCCTTTTCCCCTGTATCCCTGCAGTAGCAGGAACATTCTGAGAGAACTATTCAGTGCAACCAAGAGAAGCTCGAAGCTGCCTCTTTCTGTCCCTGGCTCCCATGACCATCGTCTGAGCTAGTTATTTCTCCCAACAAAGTGTCCTGGTCCCAAGGCAAGAAGTGACCTGCTGAGCAGATACAGCAGGTGAGATGTGAACAGAGCACCAGCAAAAGCTCATCCTTTAACACAGGAAGGGGGCTCCATCTCCTTCAAGGAGAAGGTGGCTCGTGATGCTTGATGCTCCCCTGCCCCACAGAGGAACTCATAACCATAAATAAACCAGGTAGGACCCACTCTGCTTAAAACTAAGAAGCAGACAGAAGTAAGTCTGGCAGGCAGGCCTTCTAGGGCACTTGAAGCAGCTACTTGGAAATCTGGCCTCGTCCCCACGGGCTTCTCTGTCCAGTCCTAACTGCAGGTTGAATGAAAATGACAGAACCATGGAGGCAGAGGTCCCGACTAGGAGAGTGTGACTGCTAGGTTTCAATTATGATAAAACTGCCTTCCCTGAAGCCCTAACTGGGCAGCACATCCTCCTGGCTTAGTGCTCCAAAGAGAACTGTCACCACCAACTCCCAAAACTCCAAGAGTTGTGCACACGAATACATAAAACTTTCCTTCTGTGGGGACAGTGCAGGCCTCTGATCCACCACAGCTTGGGAACCAGTGGGAAGAAAGGAAGAGAGGTCGACTTACCAAGCCAACTTCTGTTTAAGTACACAGACACAAACACTGGGGGGACCGTGAAGAAATCTACCACAGAGTTCACTTCCAGCCAGAACCACAGCTTATCGTTGGCTGCAATAAACTGGGGAGAGAGGAAAGGAGAAAAACATGAGAGGCACGATGCTGGCATTCGAAGTATATGCTTTTGCCAAAGGCTATGTTTTGGTTTTTCACAGGGGCCTGGAGGGAGATGCTATGTCCTTCTCATATCTATACCAATCACAGGCTATTTCTGTCTTAGAATTCGGTTATACAGTCTCTTGTAGAGAATGACTGTAGACTATGTTAACCTTGGAGAAATATCAGGCAATCTCTTTTCCTGTGGTTTTCAATAGCATCATAGGAAAGTTTGAGTGGTCTCACTTCCATTAGACTCTAACAGAAATATGACTTAAGTAAAGCATAGATGTACGCATCCACTCACACACACATGGACACACAATCTCCGTAACACACATTCTGTACAGCTCCCCTCATAGACAGGCTCGACTACAAATCCTCCAAGCCCCCAAATTCTACCAACCTACCGCCTCGATTCAAGCCTCACAACTGTTCTCTCAGGATTCAACTAAGTGAGCCCCAATAAACATAATTTTAAGAGTTTTTTTTTTCTCCATTTAAGACAACAATGCATTTGCATTTAGAGAGATGAGAAACAGTCGGCCAGTAGAAGTATAATAGTTACTTCAATCCCTGGTCGCCTCCTTGGAACAAGATTTTAACATGCACTTCTGAAAATGTGAAGTTAAGGAAAGGACTCTCTCAGAGACTGAAAATCAGAATGTGGGTCTGTTGTCCCCCCTGGAAACACTGGGCTTCATCTCTGCAAGAGCAGATGCTCATGGGGCATGGCCCCTGGGTACAAGCGGCCCCATGATGATACTGAGTTGTGGGGATCAGACTTACCCGCAGGCCAAAGTAGAGAAGGAAGAACACGTTGAAAGCCATGTCGATCTGTAATGTGAAATCTTTGTAGAAATTCTGGCAGGATTCTATTGGGCTATTAGACAGGAAGAAAAAAAAGCAAGAGGTAAATGAAAAGCATCATCACGTCTTGCACATATTGTGTGGTAGTGGTGCTTGGGGTAGAGGACAAAATGAATCTTTATTGACTAAAACATTTGGTCTTTCTACCCTCTGTGATGATCAAGCAAGCATGGCCAAGGGGTCTTTCCATTCAACCATTCAGTCTTTTATTCTTTTATTTGTTTTTGTAATTATATATTTATATATATATATATATTATTTTTATCATCATTCAACAGTTGAGCTAAGAATCTAAAAAGGATCATGCAGATACCTTGGAGGAAGGACAAGCAGGAGAGACCATCAAATTCCTTAATTTCACATTAACCCTTAAAGAACTGACTTCTTTCTTTTAGAGGACATATACCAAAGCTCAAAATAGTCCCTCACACCCTCTAGCACATTAGAAGTAGAGCCCATTTTCAGTTAAACTCAGTGGCTGTGTTTGAGACCTCTTGAAAGCCATCGGTTGATGAATAATAAAGGACCCAGGAGCATCTCAGGAAAGCTGTGGAGGAGAGGATCCTGGTTGATGTTCTGGCTAGACTAAGTACGGACTTGATGTATAGCACTCTGATCTGGAGAAAGAAGGATTGCTCAACTGGTAAAGTTCAAGACCATTAAACCAAAATGTTGAAGCAGTACTCTAAGGGTTAATTTTTTTTTTTTTTTTGGCATGCAAGTTAATTGGTTTTGTGTGTGTCAAGCAGCCAATTCGAACCCCCAGCACACTCTACTTTGTTCAAGAGTAGACAGTTTTTTAAAAGGGTACTGCTATACAAACTGGTACATGGCTTCCATGGGCTTTCCCATGTCAAACTGATCAGAGGATCAGTGTGTGAAAAGTCCCAAGTTTGGGGCTGGGTGGGAAGCAGGAAAGCCTCATAAGCATCTCAAAGCTGTGAATGAAAATTCATAGTAGACTGTTATCAGTAAGCAAATGGTAACACTCAGGCCAGAAACATAAAGAGGATGAGGTGGGGAAAGGGGAGGGAGTATGGGGAGAAGCAAAATACTTTCCCTGGATGGAAAGCAACGTGGACCTTTGGGCCAGGAGAGGGCTAGCTTGAGAAGTGCAGGATGGAGGATTTCCAAGTACCACCACTTTGGGAATTGCTATACGCAATACCAGTTAGTATAGTTGTACTTCTGCGAGGACAATGCTTGGTTGTTCAACAGGCAGGAATCTGTGCAGTATGGGAATGCAGGGCCCACATAGAGGCATGGTGGGTCGGTCTATGGGACTCTCCAATCATATTACATGCACTGAATTTATCCATTCTTCATCTCTATTACAAGTCAAACATGCCCTTTGTCATCTCCTAGATCACAAATAGGTGGGAAAACCTCCAGACAAGCATGGGGGGGAGGAGGAGCAGGTTACCTACATTTGCATTTACCAACTAAGCAGACTAAAGGAAAAGCAAATGCTGAAAAACATTTCTTTTATAAAGGAAATGACAACTCCTAGGTTTTTGCTAAGGTGGGGAAGTGGGAGGGAAGACAGCATGGAATTTGCTTAGTCCAATGCTGGAAGGAGTGATGAGCACAAAAGCTAAACCACTGCTCTTTACCTCCTCCCCTACTTGGGTATTAATTTAAATGAAAAAAGGAAAATCCAGACCTAGAGTTAATAAGAGACACTTCTGCAATCCCCAAGCCAGGATGGTGTTTTGTTTCATGTCAAAAACAAGACCCACAAGGTCCACAGGTGTCAGAGTTCTTAGCTTCTCTAGTCACAGTGAAAAGAAGTACATGAACTAGGTTGACCAGAAATCCACTACAGATTCCAAGGGAAGAGACAATGCATCTCTGTGCTACATAAGCCACTGGTATGATGTGCTACTGATAAATGAATGGTGTGTGTGTGTGTGTGTGTGTAAGAGAGTGATCAAGAGTGAGGGTGGGAAGCTCTGTTGGTAAATGCTGCACTCATGTTTTTACTTGTACCAGGAGTGACTTAACTGTGCATTTAAATTCATATTCATCAAGATTGAGAGTCATAGTCAAAGGGACAGAGAGAAAGTCTTGGTTCCCAAGTCTACTATGGAAAACCCACTATCACTTCACCAAGGTCAAACAATAACCTTACTATTGCCCACACAATATATTTGGATGTCCTGTGAATTTCCTAGCTCCCATTAATTCCATGGCCTTTGCAGTAAATTTTGTAGTAAACTTAAAATCTATCTAATAGGTAAAACATTTGCTAGGCTGTGGAAGGGAATGGGATAGTGGGGGAAAAGATGTTAGCTCAATGCCATTGAGGATATTTTGGTTCCGCATAAATGGCCTTTTCCTCCATATGTTCAAAAGAACGTAACGAATCAGACTGTAGCAACTTCTTCCCATTGATCCTTTCCTTCCTTGTAATTCCTGCTGTTCCCTCCTCTATTGCCCATATGCAAAGGCAGCAATGAGAGGGCTTTCTGCTAAAGGACACTGTGTTGAAAAATATACCTCAACAGCATCCCTGATTTACAGAGAACAGAGCTGAAACCATATCAAACCTTTTCCTTAATACTCTTTCAAAAATTTTGAACTGATTTAACCACTGTTTCATAGTATTCCTTGAGTCCTAGACTTTAGGCTGAAAAAAGAAAAGGAGTACACTATGCTGCTGGTGCTAGCAGATTGTCCTCTGGCTGAAGCTTGCCAATGATATGGGTACGCTCTGTTAAGATATAAGAGATGAAGAGAAGCAGAAAACTCTGGGATAAAAGAGGCCCAGCCTCTGTGACCCAGGCAGGACCAGAGTGATGGGGAAATCTGTTTTCTATCCCTTTTAGCTCTTTCCTGCTTGCCACGAGAGTCCAAGGAGAAATGTCCTGCCTAGTTTTCTCAAGTGGCAATAGAACTGTTTATCAGGATCCCCTCTGAGATAAATCTTCTGAGTGCCTGCAGTCTACAAACTCACACAATCAGAGACCACAGAGTGGAGATTCTAAAGCCCCATCATTTCATTCCCTAAATGGAAACAACCCACAGAGAAGTTCACTGATCTTATAAAAAGAAAATATATAATTCAACAATAAAAGGGCTGGCCATATCAGCCAGGATTTATTTTCCTCCCAAAGAGATTGTTATCTTAATGATTAATGCTCACTGTAGGGTAGAAAATGAAATACAAACTGCTTCTCCTTCTCATGTACAATAAGAGAGTTCCCTGTCTAGATACACAGAAGTTTCAAGAGCTAGAAATCACTTTTTTTTAACACAAAAGAAACTGACTCCGAAGTACACACTTAAATTTGGATTGCCGTTCTTACGAGGCATGCCCACGTCCGAATAAGCTGTATGTGGATATATGTTGCCAATAGAAAAAAAAAGTGGAGTTTTAAGAACTGAAATAGGGATACTGGTTCTGATCCTGGCAGTAGTAAATGGACTTTCCCTAAATTGTTCCTGGTTAAACTAATGATTTACCAATTAGAGGACACAAGATAATTGGTTAGCTGATGGACTCCTCATTCTTAGACTCCCACAGTCCATGGGTCAAATGTGATACTAAAACCTTAGACAAGTTTAGTGTTTTCACCAGGACTCTATGATTGGGACACCTTCAAAAGAACCTCAATAAAGAGCTGCTTGTGTTTTAAATATTCAGTGTAGGAGAGTCGTCTTACTTCCTCTTGACCATCCAATAAGCGCATCTTTAGTATTTAGACATCTATAGAGGAAAAGGAGACTCACTCAGAATGGCAAATATATCTCTTTCTTCATCTATTTAACAACATAATATCCAATGAAGACCCCTGAGCGGGAAGATCCAATAGTCCTTCCTGAAACTGACCTAAGACCTTGTCTTTCCAAAGCACAGGGCAAATAATGGCTAGCCAGGTTTTCTTTCAAGGGGCAGGGACTAAGGACAAAAAAAACTCACTTCCAGCAGGTGTTCCTCTGGATATCTGCATCATCACCAAGCGGGTAGTAATTGCCCTGTCTTCTCAGCCTCTAAACTCTGGTGTTTTCTGAAGTCTGTTTTCCTAATTCCCTGAGTCTGGCTGCTCAACCTAGTGGAGATATTTCTCCAGAACAGTGGTTCTCAAACTTTAGCATGTACCTGGAAGGCTTATTAAAACATTGACAGGTCGCTTCCAGAGTTTCTGATTTAGTAGGGCTGGGGTGGGGCCCTGGGAATTTACATTTCTAACAGCTTCCCAGATACTGCTGCTTATCTGGGGACCAAATTTTGAGAACCACTGTTCCAGAAGCACTTTCTTGCAACTACACACTAATTACAGGTGTTGCTTCTCAAGAAGATTCCCATTCAGACCTGAGCAGAGATGATTAAACGTTTGAGCCCACCCCCAGATAACCAGCTGCAAACCACTTAACTAATTGCTGAGATCAAGATGTTGAACAGATATTTTCACTTCCAGGTGGGAACAAGGGGGAAAAAAATTAAGACGATACAGAGAAGTAATTACACCACCACTATGTGAGCTTCACCACCGAGATTCTAATTAACAGAGTGCCTGAGAAGCACATCTTTAGTTTAAGATTAAAAGGAAAAATGAAGTATAGATGGGGAGAGGTTACGGAGACCATCATTTATGAGACAACAAAATGTTAAGCAGTTTAGGGACATCAACAGCAGCAGCAAATATCTGAGATGATTTAATAAATAACCACATGAGAGGGAAGGGACTAACTGAGGAACAAAATAGCACTTTGTGAAATAATTTCTAACATCTGAATTCTCCTCACTCTTGTGGCTAGTCCCTTTTTAAATTGGATGGAGCCTTCTCAATTCCCACCAGGATTATGGACCACCAGATAGCACCACAGACATGAATCAATACAGTAAGTTTAATGATTCCAGACTCTTCTCCTAGTCTCACCTCTGCAATGTTGCCAGATTAATTTAATTAAAAGATGTCATTCATCTACTATCATGGCTCCCTCCTGCATCATACATCAGCTCTAACACTGACTGTGATGAACCTCTGAAACCCAGCCTCACTACATGTC